TTATTACTTGGTTTAAAAGACTGTCTACAATGCTTTCCTAATTGACAATTCTCACACTCCAAAGTAGATAATTGAACAGACTCAAACAACTTTGGGAAAAGACATTTCAAAGAAYTAAAAGAAAGATGTCCCAAGCGATTGTGCCAAAGCATAATCTGGTTTACTAACTCTGACCAACTACTACTGCTACTGCTAACATGATGTCCCTGATGTCTCGGAATCTCATCCAAAAGGTAGACTCCATTCACTTCACGGCCACTCACAATCATCTTCTTTGACTCCAGATCCTGCAAAACACAATTACTAGGAAGAAAGGTTACAAAACAATTCAAATTTTTTGTCAAACTAACAAACAGTAGGTTGGTATGAAGTCTAGGGACATGTAAAACAGATGACAAAGTTATATCATTGGTCATTCTAACTATCCCCTTCCCAACAATAGGCATGTGTGAACCATCTACTGTAGAGACTCTGTCTCTACCAGAGCACAACTGATAGGAATTGAAAATGGTAGTGGCATTAGTCATATGCTCAGATGCTACTGAGTCTATAATCTAGGGAGGTCCCTCCTTACCTGAAGTGTATGCAAGATTCGCAGTTGCATATGGACTACCTGTATGTGCAAAGGAAGTGGTGTAGTTGGCTCCTGCATGTTGCTGTCTATCTGGAAGGCTAGGGCTAGGTGAATCTTTCTTACTCATAAGTTGTCCAAACCTCTCTAGTTCTGTTCTCACTGCTGCTACTGCAATGGATTCTCAATCAGTTTGGGAGAGAGGGGCTGAAGAGTCTCCTGTAGTGGCTACATTTGCATTTCCCTTCTTGTTTTTTATCCGAGCAGGCATAAGATTTGGATGAAACTTCCAACAAGTGTCCCTGGTATGCTTAGGCCTCTTGCAATAATTACACACCAAGTCTTTCTTATCTTCCCTTCTAGTCTCACTACTCCCCCTGTCTCCATTCGGCTTAGGTTTTGTTGTACCAACCATAGTCGATTGGTCAATCTCAGGCTATCTCAGCATTACATTCCTCCTACTCTCCTCTCCAGAGACAAAAGCATAGGCCTGAGAGAGTGTCACACCCTCCCTAGAAAGAATMTRCTRCYTAGCAATGTCAAATTCAGGGTTCAACCCTGCCAAGAACTCAAAAACCCTATTCCTCTCTACCAGTTTGTGATAAATTGCTGTATCATTTACACTTTTTCATACCACAGTTTCTAAGTGATCTATTTCTTGCCATAGGGTTTTCAGCATGGAGAAATACACAGCAAGAGGTTTTGCTCCCTGTTTCGTACTTATAACCTGATTTCTTAACTGATAGGCTCTGACTTCATTTTGCTTCTGAGAGTAGGTTTCAGTCACTCCTTCCCAAATCTCCTTGGCAGTATTAGCCCATAGGAAATTTTTGCAATATGAAGTAACATAGAATTACACTGCCAAGACATTACCATGTAATTCTCTTGCACCCATCGGGAAGAGTCTGTATCAGGTTTCTTCTCCTCCCCARTGAGAKACCCTAATTTTCCACGGGCACCAATAGCCATCTTAGCTGATTATGCCCACTCCAAATAATTTGTGCCATCAAGTTTTACTGTAATAATGATCCCAGACCAAAAAATATCACTACTACCTCCAACACCCAGTCCCATAGTACCGGTAGATTTCATCTCGGTATTCCAACTCTCTATTTTACTTCAAATAGTTCAACATAAGAAAAAATAGATTGGAGACATTCAAAAAATAATTTAATACCACACACACAGAAATCAACCCTTCCGGAAGAAGGAAACCCTAGCTGGAGGGAAATCTCTCTCCTCCCCATTCCTCCCAATAGAGAGAAAAGTGAATTGATCACTCTGGGAGGCCTAGAAAATTTTAGAAACCAAATCGCCCTCTTCAGAAAATCGAAAGAAAACTAACAATACCTGGGCGCCCAAGATCAAATCAAAAACAAAGAGTCCAACTTTTCTGGGACTCTTCCCCGTACTCCAGTTCTTCCTGATTTTGATGCCGAACAGTAGATCACCTTCCTGATGTCTAGATCCCACCAAAAACTCSAAGAACTGGGCAATCTATAGCAGATCGATCAGCCCTTTACTTCTTCATGCAATCGGCTGATCTAGGGCTGCATGAGAATGCTTCAAGAAACCCTAGCCGATGCTCTGATTCCAAGTAGAAATCTGCTGAATTAAAAAAATATGAAAGAAAGTAGTTTCTTGAAGAGAGAAGGAAGAGAGAAGGAGAAGAAGAGAAGAAGAGAAGAAGAGAAGTTGAAAGAAAAGAGAGCAATAATTCTGGCCGCCCCCTTCACTTATTATTTATACTAAAATAATAGAACAGTACAAAGACAACTATGCCCTTATAGGGCGGCAAAACATAAAACAACATATATAACACTCGGAAAAACATAATAAAATTTGGACTCACATAACTACTGTGGTCCCCACCTCCTATCTAACAACTAACATAAACATCTACTCAGAAAAACATCATAAAACTAATTAATCTTCAACACCAAGAAAATTACAATAATGCCCTTGTAAACCAGGCCACCTTGACTAAAAGACTATCAAACTTAGGTTTAACAATGCCTTTTCTAAGCACATAGACAAGCTGGCATTCAGTCGATCAACTTGAATATACTTTGTGCAATCATGCTGAATTGGATTATATGCTATATTGCTTATAATTTTGACAGTGCAATTACATAGGTTCTTCAGACATGATTCCCAGATCACCTAGAGAAGTTTTTAACAAAAGTTGCTGAGAAAGTCTATGTGGAATGGCTATATTCAGATTCAGCACTTGTTGTACTCACAACTAGTTACTTCTTGCTCATGGTTTACTTTTTCGAAAAAAAAAAGAAAAAAGAAAAAAGAAAAAAGAAAAAAGAAAAAANAAAAAAGAAAAAAGAAAAAAGAAAAAAGAAAAAAGAAAAAAACCTAGTTACTTCTTTCTCTACTAGGAAATCAAATTACCACCAGCAAATGTGTATGTTGTAGAATGTATATCATCATTTAAGTTTCTTATTTCATATACCCATGGTGTAGGCCTCAACAAAAGAATACAGGGCTAAACAACCGAGCAAATCTAGAGGAGTCCATCTGCATCTAAACAAGGAAAAAGAGTCCCAAATACTTGCTGCAAAACAATAGGAGATTAGCAGGTGAAAGTTTTAAGATTTAGAGTTTTGTTGAGAGAGAAAAGAGAAGAGAAGAGAAGAGGAAGAGGAAGAGCCAGTTACGAATGAGAGGAGTGTGTTACTGTTCACACCCTCAACCTTGATATTTATATCATGAGAAAACATTAGAAGAAATCCCTCACTTGAGTGCTCAAATACAAATAGATAAGAAAAAGACCAAAAGCCCCTTGTCCTTTATATTCTCAAAACTCCCTCTCAAGCTAAGTATATATGTGAATCATGCCTAGCTTGTCTAGGCTTTTAAGAAATTGTGGATTGTAAACACATTTAGTGAAACAATCAACTACTTGGTCTTCCAACCTTACAAAGGGTAGGCATATCTCACCACTAGCTATCTTCTCTCTAATAAAATGTTTGTACGGTCATGTTGAACTGGGTTATGGGCAATGTTTATAGCTGCTACCTGCTGGGTTGTCAAAATAGGGTCTCATTAGAGTATCTGCTTGGATGCCCAACTTAGTGAACAAGGTCTTCGACCAAAGTAATTCAGACACTCCATGAGCCGTTGCTTTGTATTTTGCCTTGATACTAGAACATACAACTATTGATTGTTTCTTGCTTCTCCATAGAATCACATTACCTCCAACTAAGGCACAGTAACCAAATGTAGATCTTCTACCATCCATAGACACTACCCAGTCTGCATTTGTGTAAGTCTCAAAATTTAAATGTCCATGGTCGGAGTATAACATCCCCCTAACAAGGCATGTTTTCAAATAGGTAAGGATGCTGTTAATAGCTTGAATGTGAGAAGTCCTGGGGTCATGAATATATTGGCTCATCACTCCTATTGCATAAGATATGTTAGGTCTAGTCAAACAAAGATATGGAACCCACTGAATGCTGGGTCCTGACCTCTCAATTTATGGGCAATCATGGGGCCCCAGATTGTTGTATGGTGTTGTGGTACCAACTAAAAGGTCATGCACTTGGTTATACTTGGTTATCTTGTTTTTATCTCTTTGAAGAAGGTAATGTTAAGATCTCTGTTTTTGTTTTATTCCGAAATAAGAATTATTATATCTGTCAAAGGATTCTTTGAAGGTGATGAATTTTTTTACTTATCAAAAAAAGGATTCTTTGAAATTTTTGTTGGATTCAGAGTGTTGACAAGCTATGTTCTGCTAGGGTTCTGATAAAAACCCACCAAGGATTATGTCAAATGTCAAGCAGAATTTGCAGTTCTTAAAGTTATGGAAGGTAGGTTAGTATCCAAACACTGAATTTAGTTTATTTGGGATCTTCATTTATATGATATAATTCTTGTAGGAATTCCAAAAAAGAAAATCCAGTACACCTAAGCCTGCTACTAGTTACCGCAGAAAGAAGGTGCAGAAAGAAGAACTTCCTGAAGACACAGATCTATATCGAGATCCTACGATGACCCTTTACTAGTAACTATCCAAATTTTGTCTATTTCTAATGAAGTAGATATACTTTTAATTTTGTCCAATTACTTTCTGTATTTCTTTCTGGCCAATTAAAGCTTCACTTTTGCTCACTTTCAGTACAAACCAGGGTGTGGACACTGCAGTCCCTGTCTTACTTGTTGATGGGTACAATATCTGTGGCTATTGGGCAAAGCTGAAGAAGCATTTTATAAATGGCAGACTTGATATTGCTCGGCAAAAGCTTATCGATGAACTGATAACATTCAGTGAACTGAGAGGTTTGCACTTCATATGCTTGCTTACTTCGACTTGATAAAGAGCTTTGTAAAATGTCAATATGGTGTTATGTCATCTTTGTTCCTGACTGGATAAGGGCCTTGTTCCATGATTCATGGAAAACCAATTGTATATTTCGGTGTATGGAAATCTGACATGCAAGGGAAAACTAGTCACCCACCTAATAATTAAAGACAACCTATCAGGACTGGCTTTTGCATTATGTTGATTTCTCTTATTTCTTTTGGTTGGTTATAAGTGCTCCTTTCAGCATTTAGAGTTATCATGTTATGATGCATGTTGTTTTCGTTTTTTGTGTTCCATCTGAAAGAAATAACTTTAACTAGGGCTGGAAAGGCAGATTGAAGACCATAGGCTCATGGCTAGTAGATTGGTTGATGGTGGTCTAAGAGAGGAGAATGGTGGTGTTACTAGGCTATGATACCTGTATACCTATACAAGGGTGCTGTATCATGTTGTATACTTCAATTTCTAGAGTGAATTCCATATCATACACTGTCTCTAGCCATATCTGGTTAACATTGCATGGTAGTGATGGGGTTTCGTCATGTCTTCATATGTTTTTATTCTTAGAAAATTTTCTAGGTTGGTGAAACCTAGAAAATCTCTTATAGTGATGGTGAAACCTAGAAAAGTGCTTCCTTTGGGGGAGGGGGGGGGGAGGTGTTTTATATTGTGATGGATGGGAATGGGGATGAGAGGAAAAGATCCAACCTTGACCATTGCTTGGTGGGCAGGTTTGAGGGCGATATGCAGTTTTCCATCTTGGAGCTAGGAAGGCAACTGAAAGAGATTTGGGGATTGTTGTTTCATGGATGGTGAGCTTGAAGAGGTTGCAACTCTGTTGTCTACTCTTGAGAAAGTTTGTTTGGACCCCTCTAAACCAAATAAGGGATTTGGGTCCCACATCTCAAAGGTTTTTCTCTTTTGCTTATTTTTTCAATTCTTTTTGTTTGTCATTGCAACCTCAGTTCTTCCCGTTTGGGTCCCACATCTCAAAGGCTTGTTTTGGGTAATTTGCAAAATAGAAGGCCTTTTCATTGTGTACCCCCCTAATTGGTGCATTCTATGCAAATATGCAAAACAGTGAGAGTTATTACCACCTACTAATCTCTTGTCCATTTGTTGCAGACATTTGGCAATGTTTTTTTTTTACCTTGTTTGGTTGTAGGTGTAACTTGCTGACAGAGATCGACAATTTGTTAACCCAAATACTTTTTTATGGCCTAGAAAATGGGGTAAAATCTTGTGGAGATGCACTCGGGCAGCTTTTCTGTGGTTGGTGAATTTGAGAATTTTTCCAGAAAAAGACAGAAGCACAAAAGTGGTGAAAGAATGAGTGATGACTAAGTTGATGTATTGGGTCAAAACGATGGGCTTCTTTGCACCTTTTTCCTGTGATGATATGTCGAGAAACTAGGCAGTGTTAGCAAATAGCTCTTCAAAAAGTGGACCCGTTTTTGTCTGTTTGGGTACTGTTTTCTTTCTAGAAGAGAGAGAGAGGAGAGAGAGGGGAGGAGGGAAGAGAGAAGAGTAGAGAAGAGGAAGAAAAGTGTGTCACCCAATGCATCATTGCATCTCTTTTTTCTCATTGGATCTCTTTGTAGAGACATTGGATCAGTTTGAAACTTTAGATCTGGTGTCGCCCAGAGCAGATCTATTGATTCCTTTTGGTTTGGTTTGGATCGGCTTTGTTTTAGAAGGGTTTTGATCTACTTTTGAGTTCAGTAGACTATTACAGTTTCCTTTTCTGGACATCGACTAAAAGGTACTTCTCTGTACCTTCTGATTTGAGTTCTATCCTTTGTTTGGAAGTGTGCACTGCTGTTCCTTGTTCTTCAATGGTGTTAGAAAGGATGGATGTTCTCCCTCAATGGTACGAACTATGCATTGTGGAAGTTTAACTTTCAATTCCATGTTGAAGAAAAGGGTCTTTGGGGATATCTGGATGGATCTGTGGTTAAACCTGACGATTTAAACATCAAGGCTCTTAATTAATGGAAGATTGATAATGCAAAAATTGCATCAAGGATCCTAGGGTTAGTTGAAACTGACATCGCAATTCCTACGAGAGGATATAGGACTACTTATGAGATGTACGAGTATCTTGTGAAAGTGTATCAACAGTCAAACACCTCTAGACAATATCAATTAGAAGTTGATATCTTTTCGTTCTATCAGGGAGAAAGGAAAGTCTAGGAATACTATGCAGGGTTTATTAAACCCCATCTTCCCAATAAACATATTATTAAGGCAAATGATGAAAAGTTAGATATACTCAGTTGTGATGATTTGTATTTATCTATCTCTAAGTCCTCTTCTTTTCATTTACCCAAAACTTTATTTGTACCCAAGCTAACCACCAATTTGATTTCTGTTGGCCAACTTGTAGAGGAAGGTAACACTGTTTCATTTTCTTCTGATGGTTGTTTGATACAGGACCGACAAACTAGGGAGGTGAGGGGGAAGGGGCTTAGACTGGGATGACTATTTGCTCTGGAGTTTGAGAAGAATAAGGCTGATCCCGTTTCTACTTCGTGTTTGCTTTGTACTATTTCTAGTTTTGAGTCTTTTAATTGTAATAATGATTGGCATTTGTGGCATAAACGCCTTAACCATCATTTTTCTAGGAAACTTGATTAGTTGTTTGCTTCCGGTAGTTTATCGGTTTGTGCTACTTCTTTTAAGAATGTTAATAAAGATTACATTACTCATGGTTTATGTAAGAGTCACATTTTACACTTTCCTTCTCATTCTAAGCATGCTATAGTTCCTTTTTATTTAATACATAGTGATGTTTGGTCGTTCCCTGTTATTGCTCGATTGGGTTAAATTACTTTGTAACTTTTATTGATGACTGCACTTGGTTTACTTGGGTTTACTTTCTTTGAAAGAAATCTAAAGTTTATTATGTGTTCATGCACTTTCATGCTTATGTTGCTACCCAACTTGATGCCAAAATATGTGTGCTACGATTGGACTCAGGGGAGAGTACTTTGATGGGGATTTTCAAACCTACTTGAAATAACATGGAATTCAATCCCAAAATTCTTGTCCAGGTACCCCACAACAAAATGGGGTAGCAGAAAGAAAGAATGGGCATATTTTGAGTGTAGTTAGAACCCTACTACAAGATTCCCATGTACCCTCTTGGTTTTGGGTGGAGGCGGCCAGCACTGCTGTGTATCTCATAAATCGTCTTCCTTTTATCTGTCATAAACAATTCTTCTCCCTTCCAATCTCTCTTTCACAAACATCTAGATCTAACTATGCTTAGGGTCTTTTGTTGTGCTTGTTTTGTTCACCTCCCACCTCATGAACACACAAAGCTAACTGCACAAGCTGCTTTGTGTGCCTTTATGGGCTACAATTTTGAACACAAGAGATTCCTTTGCTATGATCCTTCGGTCCGTCGTATTCAAATTTCTTATAATGTAATCTTCCTAGAGAGTGCGTTTTTCTTTGAAAATATTGTGAAAAGTTTCCAACTCCCACCTCTTTGTTGCACAGTTTTGATTCTATAGGTACTTCAAGCACACCAACATCACATCTATAACAACTTCAGGCTTACTTCAGGAGGCAACGGTCTACATCAGTCTTAATGCCCCCCTCCTCTCTACCATCAACTGTTGATCTAGTCACTTCATTTGCCATAGTAAGTGTACTTGATCCTCCCCTTGAACCTATTGCACCTACCTTGCGTTGTTCTTCTAGAATTTCTCGCCCACCTAACTGCTATGTTTTTTCACTGGATAATAGCTCATTTTCTGCTGTTTTATCTACCATAGACATTCCCAGATCTTACCAGTAGGCTGTAGCAATACCACATTGGAAAGATGCCATGGACTATGAGATTCGAGCCCTTCTTGAGAATGACACTTGGGACTTGGTTAAAGCTCCACCTGAGGGATCTCTCATAGGAAGCCGATGGGTCTACTATGTGAAACTGATATCTAATGGAAGCTTGGACAGATACAAGGCTAGGCTGGTTGTACAAGGCTAGGCTGGTTGTACAAGGCTATAAACAGGAATATGGGATAGGTTATGAGGAAACTTTTGCTCCAGTATAAAAAATGATCATTGTACGACTTCTGATGGCTATATTTGTAGCCAAATAGTGGACTATTCATTAGATGGATGTAAAGAATGCATTCCTCCATCGGGAGTTGAAGGAGATGGTGTATATGAAGCCCCCTCCTAGTTATTGCACAGACCCATAGTTTGTTTGCTGCCTGAAGAAGCCCCTCTATGGCCTGAAACAAGCTCCTAGAGCATGGTTTGAGAAATTCAGATCTGTTATCACTGATGCTGGTTTTATTCAGAGTTCTTCAGACCATTCTCTATTCACCTTAAGGAGGAAGTAGGGAGTGACAATCTTACTTCTTTATGTTGATGATATACTCATTACAGGGGATGATGTAGAAGGAGTTGCTGACTTGCAATGATTGCTCAGTGAATCCTTTCAGATGAAGGACTTGGGTCCTTTGACTTACTTGAAAGAAGAAGAAGAACTGTTTACTGTATTATAGGTTTGAAGAGAAGAAAAGAGAGAAAGAGAGCGAGAGAGAAAAAGAGTGAAGAGAGGAGAAAAGAAAGAAGGGGTTCAGTGGTGAATGATCTACTGCCCCATACACTCCTTTATTTATAGCTTTTAGGATCCTTACTAGAATAGGAAATAAACAAAAAATAGAAACAATAAGGCCAACCAACCCAATTTAACAGGAAATTAGAAACTTCTAATAACAGAAATTAGAAACTACTAAAGAGAAATTAGAAACTTCTAATAAAAGAAATTAGAAACAACTAGGTGTGGGTATGAAACCACACACACTAGAGCCTGAGTGTGGGTATGGAACCCCACACTCGTGGCTAACCAACTATTTCTTCACTCGCCCTCAAGTTGGGAGTAGATACTTGTCATGCCCAACTTGCGTGGATCTGTCTCCAATTTGCCTTTTGTGACTACTTTGGTGAAGAGATC